ATATACAATACTACTTTTTAAAGTACACATTGTATAAACTCTTTGTTTTGACGTATTAGTGTACTACTATTCCGTAACTGGAATAAATTGGCATACAAAATGTTAAGCTTCATTTCTTGGACAAAAGCTTTCATCACATGTATCCTATTCTCGTTTCTCTTTGTAAAAAGAAACGTATCAAATTCAAATTCTAGATTACATATAAATTCGGATATCGTTCAATAAGTTAAAAGACAAAAAAAAATTGCTTCTCTGCTACGGAGCTCAAATTTCTGTGTGAAAGAGAGACTTCTCTTTTACTTAAGGGACAGGACCCGACTCTAGTATATGCAAGCGTGAAATGCCAAAAATTTGGTGGATACTTAAAAAAACTTACAACAATGTAAATGTGATATTATGGTCAATAAAGTAAGATAGTTTCAGATAACATTTTCAGCAGCTCTTATCTCACTTTCTTGACAAGTAAAGAATATAATTTGGTAGATGGGAAAATCTTGGAAAAATGAGTTAACTTGTAAACCTTAAATAAACGACCAAAGGTTAATCTATACGTAAAAATATAATACAAACAAAAACTATAACTAAAATAAACACAATTCCAGAATAAAAAAAATATCCATTTGCAAATCTTTCCAAAGAGTTGTCCTATATTAAAGCGAAACATCCGTGATCGTGTCTCTTGGAGACGTATATGTTTGGTTATTTCCAGCAAAACAAACATTAAATGTCATATTATAAGTTGTCGTTACATAACGAATCCATAACTTAATTTTACAACACTAAAAAAAAATTGGCCGATAGATAGTTAAATACATTTAACCTAAAAAATTGAACAATTGAAGTTCCAAATGCGAATGCGCGTTTTTACATGCAAATAGTACGATTATTATTATTGTTATACTGTCAAATGAACATCACCAAACCATAAAGTAGGGAGTAGTATTAATTAGGGTTTTAACTTTAAATTTATATTTCTATTTGTTTTGGTTGATGAAAGTTTAGTAATGTATATATACACACTCTCAAAATTACTATTTCAAGTGTTCCGATACTTAAACCTAGTTTTGTATCTTTGCCATACAAAAAGAAAAAATTGTAACCCAAAAATTCAAAGTAAAATGATTTAATATAAATATATGAAAAAGGCATTTTAAGAAAATCTAGTTCGGCTAAAACTAGTTTGGTTTATTCAGTTGCAGACAAATGAAACTGAACTGGTTGCAGCTTGCAAGAACAATATAGTATTGAACTATTGATTCGGTTTGGTTCAATTGTCTCTTCGGAAACAAAAGACATATGCTGGTTTTGTCGAAAATTGAACCACAACTTTTTTTTGGTCAGAGAAAAAGCCTCTTTAACTATAGAAAGCTAAAGGGAAAGTCGAAAGAGCCCACGACCCAAGGAAAATAAAGCTGTGATTTACAAATGCACTATTGAAACCTTTTTGTGAAGCTAATCAAGCAAACACCAAACACTAAACGGTGACAAACAAAAAAAACATCAAACGTATATGTAATACGTGAGTTCTGTTTAACTATTTCTTTCAAAAACGGTTCTAACTTTCGGATCGAAACAAAATAGCATATGAATATACTTCACTATCGAACTTTTTTTTTTGAACTAGATTTTAATATCGAACATTTTAAAGTCTTCAATTTTCCAATAATTTTTCAGTTGATCAAAACGGCATCGAACTGGTATATATATCATATAGACATGCATGCAAGAATTTTGCGGTACCAACCGTCTATATATCACCCGGCTAATTTCAAAGGTAAACAAGCCTATCGGAAAAATGCTGTCGACCAAATTAAATTTTCAACTGAGAGATTCAATTTGTTTCTCAAAGACCGAGTGATATGTCATCATTCCCGACAATGCATCGTATAACAAAGTTGTTGTAAACGAGAGTCAAATTCAAAGGAGAGCATATTTACAATTTACCCTAAGATAACTATCATTAGGTCACCGTGCGCTGGACTACCTTTCACTATTAAGATACATAGACGTAGTACTATTTTGGATGTTCTAGAGCAATATACTCTCGATTGAGGTGAAAATGTAGGTACATATGGTGATGATGATGAGTCATAGCCCATGAACTCTTTCTCTTTTTGTGTTGCATAATACTATATCCCGTCTTTTTTTATCTTCAATAATACAATGAAACTTTTTTAGACGTATTATCGAAGACGAAAATGTTTTATCAGAACCACTTGAAAACTATTAAAATAAATAAAAGTGACCCTGAAGTGTTGCACGCTGTGTCTGTCTTTATATTACCTTTAACAAAAGAGAATCCATATTGATTTCCATCTTACATTATCTCTAATATATAATAATCATGTAAATAAATAAGCCATACCACCAAAATTAAAGCAAACTTTCTTTTTTTCTTTGTGGGATTTCAAGGCAATACAAAAACTACAAGATTTTTATAGAAAATAAGTATATCTTTTCAGTTATTTATTTATTCATATTTGCCTTCAAAATCCAAGTTTTGTTCCCTCTTTCAAATTCTTTTAAGTAATACTAGCAAAGTTTAGTTCATTCTTTTCCTCCTCTATATATATGTACCACCATTTTATACCTATCTCCACAAATCCTTGACAGATGACATTCGCCACTTTGTCTCTGGTTTCATTCCCCTCCCCAAAATGAAATACATACACATTTTGAGTGTATTCAAATCAAGACCAACGTAATAAAGCCGTCCATCATTCATATTTTTGAGGTCTTGTATACAGTATGCATATATATTATATATATGGCTTTATAGTTGTGCCTGGCTCCCTGTATGCCACAAGTAAACATCGATATTTTGGTTACAAAATCGATCACTAGTGGCATACAGAGTAGTCAAGCATGACCAAAGCTTTCTTGTTAATTATATCAGTACTTTGTCTTTAGAACACAATATGCATTGATGGTGTCTATAAGCTTCCTGTTATATTATATGCATGGATTGTGTCTACAATAATTCAGATTTATATTATTCATCTTCAATCCTCACTCTTTTCTTAACATCCTTTTATTTTAGCAACGTTTCATTTGTATTGAACATATATTAAGCACTTATTATAATGCTAAGATGTAACAAGTTTGTAATAAATTCTAAAACTAAAACAAGTTTGTAATAAAGCCTTGTTCTAAAACTAAAACAAGTTTGTAATAAATAAAAAATGCTAACGAGTTTGATATTCATATTGTTTGAAATTATATTTGGCGGTAAAAAAGTACGTTGAACAATAGTATTAGTTGAGAATCTTGAGATTGTCGGCTATAACTAGATAAATAAAATATAAATGTTTGCACATGAAAGAATTAATTACGACCCCTCTGTGTTTTATTTTGCATATACTCATATACTGTATGCATATTTAAGCGGCCATTAATTTAATACCAATATTAATCGTTTCAGCTCTTCATTTATGCATCCATCATTCAACAATATCATGATAAAAATATTGCTTTCTCTATCTCTTTGTGAAAACTAAAAAGAATAAAGAAATTGGTGTCTATATCTATCAATACTTCAGTATCATATCATATCTGTTTAATCACTCCGAAATTGTTAAGTTGTGTGCATTACCATATTTATGTTGTGTTACTACTTAGTACTTACTACTAACTGCTCAATTTTTCTATTCAGTTTGTCAAAATCCCGGAGTAAATAGCCTTAGCAGGTGTAGCTTTACTCAGAAGTCAGAGGTTCTTCACAAAGTGAAAGCCTCTCTTTAGCCTAGCGGGTTTGGAAGACAATGCATGCGATGCGTTGTATGTTGTCTTTTCTTGTGTGACAGAAGAAATATAGAACACATCACATTTGTCCCACCTTTTCATGCAGTTGTCCCTCCGAAAGTTTTCAACTTTATTTAAGTTTTGTAATGTTTCTTTCCTCAAAATCATCGACACTGATTAGATGATGTTTCAGAGGTAAATATAGGTTTGTAAATATATAAGAATTGATACATAGTATTACTTTAACACATACTCCAATTGTATGACCTGAATGGTAACAACCTTTTTAGATTAGAATTGGATCAATGAATGTTTTATATTCCACTTTTGTACTTATATAGTAATTAATTACGTATAGAATTCTTTTCATTTTTCGATGCATTTTACTGGTTTTCGTAAAGCAACAGAGGCAATTGTAAGGTCACATGTCAATGTACCGTTTAAACGTGCCATCTGCCATGTTCCGTGGCCAAAGCACCACACTATCAATTGTCAAATCGAGAATGATATTATAGATTTATTGTTCGCTTGACAAAAAAAGATTTATTGTTTATACTCGCTATAAGAGAATAATATTTGAAAATTACAATGATGATTATACTTGTAATTAAGGTTACGTAGTGCTAGTTAGTTTCAATTTATATTTAAAATCTTAAACCTCCACGACGATTTACTAAAACTGTATAGTTATTTTTCTAGACTGTACGTATAACAACATGTAAGAGATCTAACCATTCTCTGCCAACAAATTATCCTCCTTTAAAAGTAAGAAGAAGCAATTTTACTTATGAATTACAAAGCAATTTTACTATCATCTAATGTGATACACAATTACTAATATACATATCATTAGCTTACACGAATCATGTAACTACTTTGGTTATAACTTGTATTATATGCGTACCAAATTTTTATAAACTTTTTACAATAATACGGTCAAAAATTATACACTCATCAATCATGTGTCTGAGGTAACATGCATATTATTAATTTTTTTTTCTAAAATGGTCTTCAAGATATAAATTAAAGTGTTCATAACTGATAAGATTAAAAAGCGTTAAAAAAGAAAGAAAGAAAAAACTGATCAATGTGTATATGTATATACATATAGTTTAAAAAATTCCTAATCCATTAAAAAATAAGAGTTTTATTGCTTAACGGCCCCGTCTCAGTTTCCAATTCCGGTTTTATTTATTTGCCTGCCTATTATCTACGTTATCTAAACTAACCCCATATGTTTATCTATCGTACAAATAATCCTTATTTCATTGTCCAAGCAACAGTTTTTTCCCCCAAATTATATAAAAATTATCAAGTACTCAAAAATTCAATCATAATTTAATGGTTTGATAAGGATTAACAATAAAGGTATACGACACACACGTCTATAAATCCCGGGGCTAAGTTTGCAAACCACAAAAAATTGAGGGCCACAAATGATTTTTAAAGGTACAAATTTAGTTTTGTTATTTTTATTAGCTAGATTTATAAAACAAAATCCAAAACAAAATCCTTCAAAATCAAAATTCGAATATTCCTTTTAGTTTCCTCTTCCTCTTCGTCTCCTTCTTCAAATCTTTCTCCGTCATTCAGATTTCGAGAAGACAGAGACAGAGAGAAGGATTCGTATAAGGCAAAAGCTTTCAAAAACTCTTTTTTCCATATATCCTTTCTTCTATCTGTCTCTCTCTCTTTTCGACCGGATCGATACAGAAGAGAGAGATGGAGAGAGAAGGAGAACCAACAATCGGCGGCGTTGCTCCGGCGGTTCCGTCGAAATCAGCAGATCCGGGAAATTCTCTGAGCTTTTGGGAGGTCACGGCAGCTTCCGGCGTCGTTGTAGGCTTTCTAGTGGGACTTGTTTGCGTGTATCTCACATTGCCTCAATCTGATTACAGTTTCCTCAAGCTACCTCGTAATCTCGAAGACCTTCAGATTCTCAGGTAAATTTTTATTGTTTCTATATTTGATTTTGTTTTTTGGGGTTTTTAGCAAAAATACAAGCTTTATGAATTAGGAGTCTGGAATTTATATGCTTCAAGTGTATTGCAAATATTAGCAATGTTTATTGTATATGAACCTGATGAAAATTCGTCTAGAAAGTTGATTACTTTCTTAAAAACAGATTGATGAAGGAAAGTTTTGATTTAACATCTTGAGCTTTTTTTCACCAAAACTGCTGATAAATGTAGAGGCATTGATTGATCAAACCACTAAATCTGTGTGTTGTTTTCTGCAGAGACAATCTTGAGATTTACACAAGTGATTACACAGTTCAAGTTCTTGTTGGGTATTGTCTGGTCTATGTATTTATGCAGACATTCATGATCCCTGGAACCGTGTTCATGTCTCTGCTTGCTGGTGCTCTCTTTGGAGTATTCAAAGGAATGGCTCTTGTTGTCTCCACTGCAACAGCTGGTGCTTCCTCTTGCTACTTCCTCTCTAAGCTTATTGGTAGACCTTTAATCTTCTCGCTTTGGCCCGACAAGCTCGTATTCTTCCAAGATCAGGTTTGTAAAATCCAAGAAAGAAAGAAAAAAACAAATTATTTTTCTCCTCTTTCTCCGATTTTGGAGAGATCCTGATGTGATCTTGCGCGTGTTTTGTGTGTTTAGGTTGCGAGAAGGAAAGATGGGTTGCTGAATTATATGCTGTTCTTGAGACTAACACCAACATTGCCTAACACGTTCATTAATGTTGCTTCTCCAATTGTTGATGTTCCTTACCATATCTTCTTCCTCGCTACATTCATCGGTCTGATCCCTGCTGCTTATGTCACTGTCCGGGTATGAAAATTTTCAGGCATCTTCCAGTTTTTTTTTTTTAAATCTCATGGTTTCAATGAATATGAAGATTTAACATTTGGAATGTGTTTGTTTGGTTTTGTGGCACAGGCTGGGATTGCTCTTGGAGAGCTACAGTCATTGGGAGATCTCTATGATTTCAGCTCGATGGCGACTCTGTTTCTCATCGGTGTGCTCTCAGTGACTCCCACTTTGATTAGCAAGAAAAAGGCGTAGTAGAAGAAGATCAATGGAAACATAACACAAAGCCTTCTCATGATGACGATGATGAGCGAATTTCAAAAAGCCTTATTTGTGTATATATCATTTAGAATCCTAGGACCAGTCACCAATATCAAAACCCACCTTTTCTCTACATGTTCTTAGTAATTCAAAAATCAAAATGTACTAGAATACATCTCAGACGGGTTTCATGGGCCTTTTGACAATATGTTTATGGGCCTAGTTTATAACCAAAATTATCCATAAAATTGGTCTGAACCTGAAATTTTCTTTGCTTGGGTTTCAATTCTTACTGCAAGCTTGATAAGAGATATCGATCGAAGGTTACATTGCGTACCGAACGCTCACAAATTGCTAACGGCGTGTATAACATCGAATAGTTAAATTACTAATCTCATGCTTCTTTTGCTTAGCCCTTTATGATAAACGACCCATGAAAAGCTATATCTAAACATTTAACTTTAATATATATAATCACATCATAATTCTGTTTTGGACCAGATAGGACGGTGCCAAAATAATTGTGTGATTAAGCCGTTGACCCCATAAAAAAAATCAAACTTGAGTTATTAAGTCAGACAAACAAATACATAATCAAGCCCAACCAGGAACATGGCTATCAGAAACAAAACAAAAACAAATTATCATTAACTGAAAACGTTCATTGCTGCTAGAAATATACAATAAAATAACTAATAAAACAGGATGTGCTAGTCTCATGGTTTCACATGAAAATATAACGCGAGAAGAATTTTGGACTGTTGTTTTTATCGTTAAGTGGTTGAGGCCATGTTAGACATATATCGTACAATGAAGGAAGTGAGAAGATAAATTTGCCGACGAAAGCACAAAATTAAGATCTAAAGATTAAGCTGAGAACTTAATCGAAGATACAAAGTGAACCTGAGGATATATACATATATATATATATAAACATTACAAAAGTTAACATCATAATTAATTTTTAATTTGTAGTTATTGTTTTGTGTAGTTTGTTAGTTCTCTTAGGAGCACATCTCTTAAAAGGTCGAACAAAAAAACATTACAATTTGAAAATACGATGGTGGAATATTTTTCGAGAACTCTTCAATATCCAAGTTAGCAGCCAAACAAAAAAGGCCACAAAGTAGATTCGTTGGAAATCTTAAGAAATCAGAAAATATAGTAATTTTATTTACTATTTAGTGTAAATAGATGATGGCTTAGTGTAAATAGACCCTCTTACGTCTGACGAAGTATTCTATTCAGTCGTGATCTTCTAGTTAAGGGCATCAGTAAGAAGATTGGTGACAGACGGTCAATACATATCTGGATCGACCCATGGCTGGAAAGTAATGGTATGCGTGTGCTGTGGATCAAAAATCCGTTTATTGACCTGTCTATTAGTATCTGATATCATTGATCCGGTGTCAAGAGACTGGAGACCTGATAAGCTGGAAGAATTGTTTTTTCCAAATAATATTCGCCTAATACAAGCCATAAAGCCGATTCCAGAAACAGGGGACTTCTGGATTTGGAACCACAACAAAGGAGGTCTGTTCTCGGTAAGATCTGCTTATTGGTTGGCGTCAAAACTTTTCTTCTCAGAAGTAGCCAGAACAGCTGCAGTACAACCGTCTTTAAACAACATCAAAGAAAAAGTTTGGCTGCTTCAGACAGCGCCACAGATCAAGACGTTTGTTTGGAAGGTTATGAGTAATGCGATCCCCGTAGCAACAACAATAGAAAAAAGAGGAATGAAAGTGGATATTCGTTGTCAAGCATGTGGAGAAGAAGGTGAATCCTCAAACCATGTCCTTTTTACATACCCTCTGGCTCGACAGGTATGGGCCCTTTCAAACTTTCCCTCCCCGCAAGGAAGTTATCACGAGAGCTCGGTTTATGTGAATATTCACTATGTCATGCTTATGGGGAAAAATATGAAAATCCCCTTAGAGGTTAGACGGTGCTTCCCTTGGGTTCTATGGTTTTTACGGAAAAACAGGAACAAATTTCTCTTTGAAGCTGAGAGTTTCTCACCAGCTGAATCGATCCAAAAGATTTTAGGGGAGTCGAATCTCTGGTTTTATGCCCAAGAAATAGAAAAAACCAGTCCTGAAAGCCCCACATATTCTGCGCACAAAAAATTGCAGGTCTAGAAACCACCTAAACCATCTATTTTGAAATGCAATATTGGGGTTCTCTGGTCTAACAAAAGGAACTGTGTTGGTGGATCTTGGATCCTTCATGACCAGACTGGGTCAGTACTCCTTCACAGTTGTCGAGAGTTTGGAAATATTTTGTGCAAAGATGCTGCTGTCCTCACTTGTGTCGAATGGGCTATTCAGAGCATGTCCCAGCACAGAGTCGAGTGTGTTATCTTTGCCTTGGAAGATTCGACCTTACTGAAGGCTTTGTTGCGACCAATAGCATGGCCATCTTTCAAGAGCTCAACATCTTCGGTTTTTATTTTATTGTCAAGGTTGAAGTCATGGGAGTTTGAAGTTGTGGCTAGTTCAGCCAATAGAGGGGCTTTTATCATCGCTGAAAGTGTGATCAAGCTAGCTTGGGTTCTCTCAATCGTATGTTGCTAGTGGACATCCGAATTGGCTTAATGATCTCTTTGGTAGTGAGAAATTTTTGCCCTCTTATGTGTCTTGATTTGGTCGGTATCATGCCTCTGCATTTTTTGATAGTATAGGCTTCTCTCGTTGTCTCAGTACTTGTTTAAGTATTCCCTCTTGTTTGGATTTTTATGCTTTTGGTAGCATATTTGTACGATTACAACTTTCTCAGATTAATATACTTCTTGAAGGACAAAAAAAAAAGATGATGGATCTAAGGTAAAACTATGTTTTGATGGGATTTTTGAGAGAGAGAGAGGGAGAGAGAGAGAGAGAGAGAGAGAGAGAGAGAGAGAGAGAGAGAGAGAGAAAGAGAATGGTTAAGGGATAACCGGAAATTGGTCAAAAAGAGGTTCAACGAATCATAGAAATGTGAGTCAAAAAATATAGCGAAGAAGATAAAGAAAATGAATGGAAAACGCTCAAATACCCAATACATAATCTAGACAAATCAAGACTTTTCATGACCTTGAGAGGCTTAGCCTTAGGTATGTTTATACCTGATGAACAACTATGGTTGGGCACCACACAAACTGCCTCCTTCTCACTTCTCAGTAGAACAACCATGTTTTCAATTATTTGCATAATTTTTTTCCGGAGTAATTGGAGAGAGATATGTGTGGAATTGATTCAAATTGTACGATTGTAACGAGCAACGCTTTCTTATATCCTACAACACCAGGACAATGGAGTTCACTACCATCAACACTAAAACATGCGCCATATCTGTATAGACAAGGTGGAGATAGATGTTGGCGTGTCCATGGATTAAGAACAGAATTGCCAGAAAATGTTGCTCGTTACCAGAAGCGCAAAGAGCTAGGTATCGAAGCTTTGAAGAGGTAATAATCCACCTAATAATCTTGGTTCTTGACTTATAAATCATGGATCTTTTTATCATTTATTCTCAGTTCATCTCTCTAAGACATTTAGTCTCCAAACACTTACCCAATTTATATAAACATTTCAAAGTGGTTATAGTTTTAATGAAAATTTTATGCAACAAAAAGATTACTATTAAAATGCCTCAAATTTTCAAAAATCAGCCACATTTGACTAGATATGTTTTATATTCTGATTCAAGAACCAGCCAAATTACTTTAATTTATTACCGGTACTTAAAATACCTCAAATTTTCAAAAAGAAGTTTCGATTAAACTCTCTCAAATGACTTCATATAATATACCATTAGCAAGATCCTACATTCATTATATGTAATTTAAAATAAAAGGGTTGAGATGTTATCATTTCTATTTCCATTGACAACTACTGAACTACGTACAGACTAATCTTACCAACATTTAATGTATCTGTGAAAATATACATACACTCATAAAAGCAAGCCAAATTTATTTTCACAGTTTAATTTTCATAAATCAAAATTAAATTTAGTAAATGAACTGTTGAGAAGAATGTTTTGCTTCCATTTCATGCTCAATCTAGTATGGATTATACGTTTTAAAAATATAATTTACGTTGACTTTTTATCCTTTTTTTTATAAAACGTTTACAGAGTTGTTATATGAATTATTAGCGGCTGACATATAAATAGAAATACATATATATATAGACTCGCATGTATTACATGTTACGTTTCGATTAACATAATATATATAGCTCATGAATTAATTAAAACTGGAATATAAAAATAGGAAGATATCATAACTCTATATAAGGAACCTTTTTCAGCGAATATAAATGCCAAATAAAAAGCTCAACTGACTAATCAAAAGAAAATTCTCTTACAGATAAGCACCACAGCACATCGATTTAATAACATAATAAGTCTGCTTCCAATACGAGATTCCCATAAAATCATTAATAATTTAGTTAAATTATTACAGTATAAGCATATGAGTCTGATGATATATACAGATTTTAACTAAACAAGATGTAAAAAAAAAAAAATCATCACCCGAACAAATCAAACTTATTTCATCCAAACTTATGGGAAATATATAAGGAACCAAAAAAAATCATATGATAGTATTTTTTTATTTTTCATACTGCATCGAGGAACTAAAATACACAAATAATTATCTTTCACTACAATGTGTTTTCTCAAATATTTACATTCAAAGACTATATTAAAGACACAAAACAAGTTTTAGTGTCATAAAACATAAAACATAATTAACATGACTCCGATAAAGCTGGAGAAATATAAAACAAAATAACAAACGAAGAGGTTTCGTTGTTCAGTTCCTCCAATAAAAACAAAGCAGAATTGGTAATATTACTATGCTAGGGCTTCAAGAAATTGAAAACCACTGTTGAATAGACACATATGATTTGCGTTTATTAGTTTATATATATGTATATCACCATGCCACACACACATGTACAATCATATATATACCTATATATATGTGCGCATAGAAGTCATATATGGCAGAAATTAATTAAGATGAATATCCATATAAGCAATATTTGTTGTTTTAGTATATAGTGTCACATTGTTTTTTTAGAAAACAAATATTTTAGTCATAATTCTATCACCAAATCCCCCTAAAAATATGATTTGCTCTTAATCATTGCACTGACCAAAACATAAAAGGACCTGGATTTAAACTACACATTAACAAACCTATTTAGCAACAACTGTAATCAAATTCTAATAGACAATGGTCAATATCAAATTTGTGATATACGAAGTCGTTAGATATGAAGAAAGATTGAGGAT